GTCGTGTCTTTATAAAGTGTGGTTTGATTGCTCGAGGACGAGCAATGCTTTAAGTGTGGGGTGTTGATGGTAGGTTATAATCTCATGTTTTAGTCGATTATTACATTCTAATTTACTGCACTATAATAGAGATTGAGCTTTAATCGCTAGTGTTTCGTACTAATTGTGTATTTTATGCCCTGTAGGAGGATTCTGAGCTATATAAATATTACGGAATGAATTTGAGCTATTTGGAGCTTTGAAGTCTGAGTAAAAGCCCAAAGGATTAAGCCGGGATCGCGTTCGGGATCGAGGACTACATTTGGATATCAAAAATCATGGAAAAAGCCAGACTCTGAGAAACTTCCACAGCCGCGGCGCGTGGCGTGCCGCGCCTATACAAAATCCTGTAGTATATCAGAAATCAACTCTCTGAACTTTCCCACAACCGCCCCGCGTAGCGCGTCACCCCATGCGGCATGCCTATGCAATTTTTACAGAGTTAATTTCCTATTTCATGCAGGAGAAGGTATTTTCGTCTGGGCCTGACCCTACTTAGTATAAATATATGTAAAAATATTATTTTATGGATTTGACACATCTTAGACCTAAGTAAACCAAGGAGGAGGTGGAGAAGCAAAAGCTCAAGGATTTCATCATTCAATCCTCACTCAAGACAAGGGTTTGGATTGTTTTATGTTTTCCTTAAACTTAAACATTGTTATGATGAATTACTCCATATCCATGGAGTAGTTCTCTTTAGGGATTGATGGATTTGGTGTCTTGATACTTGTTTGTGGATAATTAACTCTAGTTTATGTATTGAATCATTTTTGGATGTTTTAATCATTGCATCTATACTCACTTGTTAATGTAATCGAGAGAGGTATTACTTGTGATATTGTTGCATTATATTTTGTTGGTTGAAGACATTAATTCTTCTTAGTAATCGGAAGAGGCTAGTTGAGTTTTTGAATAGACTTAGTTAGGAGCATAATCGAGAGAGGTTCTCCAAAAGACCAATCCACTACGAATTCTTGCATATCTTCACTGAGCGTAAATTGGTTCATATCGTGAGGTTGAGATTTAATCGAGAGAGGAGTTTCTACTAATCAATTGAACTAATAACCAAGTGAATTCGAGAGACTCACTTGAACATTAGAAGTGAATTATCTAGAATCAAACCCCAAACATTTATCTTGCACCTATCCTATCAACCCTATCTTCTCCCAATTAATAACTTCATTTGCTTAATACTTGTGTTGATTGTCATTAGCCAATAGTTTAGACTCTTAGTTAATTTTAGTTTAAGTCACATAAATCTCAATTGTTGATCATCTTGGATAGTAATTTAGCTACAAACTACGATAATAAGTGTTTAAATCCAATCCCTATGGATATGATATTTGAACTTACTATATTCGACTAGCGAGCATAATTTTAGTGTATGTTTCGAGCTCGTCAGTATTCCAGACAGATATTGTATTATTATTATTGTACTCCTTAGTAGATTCTCATGCACTTGTGACATCGGGTTTTGGGATGTTCTAGATGTTGTGGTGATTTTATCTAACATTTCCACACTTTTATTATCTATTCTATTTAAAGTGTAAGTTTCCATGATTTTAATGCGTTGATCTTTTCATCTAATAAAATGCACGATTTCGAAAATAATAAAGTGCGTAATCAAGTTGGTAGATCACCGTTGGCTTGTCTAACGGTGACGTTGGACGCTATCACGGCCTATAGTGAGTTTTGGGTTGCGACAATACACATTCTCATTAGGCCTGCAAATAGCCCCCAAACCAATTACGATCAACCCCAAGCATGTAAATAACCTTCCAAAAGTCTATAGCAATCTATCTATAACATATACCATCAAGTATCCGATTCCATATCTTCACAGCCTATAACCAAGGAATAGTCTGCCTAAGAGAACATCCAGTCTCTAAACCTCATGAGTACCTGAATCTCCATACCCGATCCCAACTCCACTACTCAAATTAGTGATACATTACTCATACACCATCATCTTACGGAAAATTCTCACATAGATCTTCCGCACCACGTGGCAAAACCTAAACCTCAGCAGCCCAAAACCAGGCGATCACCGTAACACTAGTCAAGCATCTGCAAGTCAAAACACAATGTGCCTCCAAAAATGCACACTCTTCTCAACGATATCAAATTGTACCTGCATTCTCTTAAACATCTGAAATCATTCATGCCTTCTAGAACTCATGACCTTTCCTTCAAACTAAACCGCAACCTTGTACTCGCAATTTTCAATCACAAACGGTGCACTACAACTATCAGTCTAACTCGTAAAAAAACAAAAGTCTCATAATCAACTCTTAATCACAAGCAAGATGAACACCTCATCAACCGAGAACCTTCCATTTAACTTAATCCGGGAGGACATCACCACATGCAACACACCTTTTATACTCGTAGAAGACATCAACCCTGAGTCGTGGCCATAACCAAGTCATTTGAACTGATTTTCCTCTAACTCAACCGAGTCACGCAGACTGGCAAACCCAAAAGTAACTCAATCCGAAATGCTTGCTCTGAAGGGACCTTTTGCGAATACGAAGCCGTTTCTTGCATCTCTCTAATACTGCCATGTAGAGTCAATATTGATATAGAATTACTGCAACTCTAGACACCATCTCTACCGATCTCAAGTCCTAGCCATACACAAATCCAAAAATCCTTAATACCACATATGAATCTTGAACTCATCATAACCTTCTCAATATCCATCCACTCCACTCCAATCTTTGATGCACAACCAATATGCACTGAAAAACATGTGCTTCACCAGCACATGAATATCCAAAAGAACCCTTTCCTTGCACACTACATCCACAATGAACATCAAACCTGAATTATCCCAAGACCTCTATATACCCATATAGTATAGTACATCATACATCCAACAAATCCTTTGCTCGAAGTCATCCTTTCAAAGTCATAACTAATCTACAAATGCCCCTTAGTCCTGAAACTAATATAACACATGGCCATGCGATCGAATTATCAATAGCAGACTCCCCACTTAGCTCGAAGCCGTAGAACACTTCATTTGTTACCCATAATACCCTTCCTTTATAACTACCTCGATCCCGCACTGCTAATCAACTAAATACTTCACAAAACTCATATAACACCAGTTATAAAATACCCCAAAGGCTCTTCCAAGTGCATACTCATCCTTGTGACATTCGTGCAAACTTTCTCAAGCCCTCCAAAATGGTAGTATATGCATTCCGCTGAATAGAAGCCTCATACGGTCACATAACGTCAAATCTTTTCACATGAGATAACCCACACGTTAACCTCAAATCGACGTCTTCCCATGACTCTACCATGGTCACAATAGGTAGGCAACCAATTAGTCCTTCCGAGTCTACACTCGGCAACAAGATATATGAATCAACTTCATTACTCAAATGAACAATTGAAAGATCCACTAACACATACATATCTCAAATCGTACAGATGTACCGTAGAATTTCGGCACATTTGATAGCAGTTACATAGACTTTAGATCATCTTTCAATGCATTTTTATTTAATTCTTATGAAGTTTTGGTGTTTTGCAGTGCATGAGGCTTGCGGACCCAAAAATATGAAAAAGAAGTCAAAAAGCCATAAAAGAGTAGAAATGATGCAAGTATGCGGTCGTATAAAGCCTATGCGGACCGCATAACCATTGCAGACTGAAGCAGATTTTTGGTTTACTGAAGAGGAGAAAATGCGATCCATTATGCGGTCGCATAACGATTATGCGGACCGCATAGTGATCGCATAACTGAAATCAAGAAAGCTGAGAAGCACTTATACAGAGGAATATGCGGTCACATAATGTATATGTGGACCACATAATTGAAATGCGGTCAAGAAATGGTTTTGGAGACATGAGATTATGCGATGATTTCGAATAATATGCGGACCGCATACGTGATTTGCGACCAGTATGCGGTCGCATAAATGCTCTGCAGGGTTATTTTTGTCCAATTTTGTCTCCGACTTTTAGCCCACTATAAATAGATTTATTAGGGTTTTTGTGGGGCAGTGGAGTCTGAAAAAGAGACTAATGTTAGAGCATTGAATGCACCATTGCTTTGGAGACTTTTGAAGAAAGAATCTTGTATATTTGTAAGCTTTATAACTCTATTTATCGCTATGTTCTTAGATTTCAGTATGAGTAACTAGTTTTAATTATTAAGGTTGTGGACCCTAGATTGATGTAATGTTAATGGGTGTTTACCATTGAATATATATATAATGGTTGGTTGATATTTATTCAGTTCTTATGCTTCATGTGATGTTAGTGGTTGCAAACATTAACTAATTCCATTTCACTCTATCTTCACTTGGAAAAGTGGGCTAGGGTTTGGTAGAATTGAATACCAAAATCTCAAGGCTTTAACCCTTGTTTAATGGAATCGCCTAGGAATAAGTGGGTTCTATTTGGTATAAATTGGTTATTTTCAATCGCAACTCTTTTACATTTGGTAAAATCTTAATGAGTGGATATTACCCAACTATTGGGAAATATTGGGTAGTCGCTTAGAAACCATTTGCATATCAAAGGACCTTCCATTAGAAATATATCATATTAACACCGATAGCATTACATTCCATCAATGGGGACACAACCTTGATTTTCTTAAACAAATTAATTACAACCTCACAATATTATACTTGTCTTCATTTCACTCAATTACAACATTCTTTTTAGCTAACGGAATAGAATTACAAATTAAGTCAAGTTTCACACTACTCAAGTAACCTTTTCACACCTATTCCCTGTGGGATTCGACCCCAACCTAGTTGGGTTATTATATTTGACATCGACCGCTATACACTATTTATTAAGGTGTAATTTGAGCGTATCAAATTTTGGTGCCGTTGCTGGGGAATACGGTTTTGAAATTACTATTTGGTGTGTGCTTTACTTCACGTTTTTATTCCATCACACTTTGCTTGCTTTGCTTGGTGTGCTAGATAAACATGGCAGAGTATGATAAAGAAGAGAATCCTTTTGCGGATATAGATGAGTACATCGAGGACACAAATGCCATTGTCCCTCCGCGAGTTGAGGCCGCTACCTTCAAGGTGGAACATGGTTTGATCCTAATGCTTAAAGCAGAGGGGTTTTTTAGGAATTCTACCGATGATGATCCAACACAACATCTTAGAAACTTCTTGGGTGTGTGTGCGATGCACAAACAGAACAACGTGTCAGATGATGCCCTAAGATTGAGGGTATTCAAGTACTCACTAGATGGAGAGGCAAGGAAATGGATCCAAAATCTACCACCTCACTCCATTCACTCTTGGCCTGAACTAGTTCGTGCTTTCCTAGCCAAATGGTTCCCACAAAGAAAGAAATCCGAACTCAGGGATAAAAATTTCTTCTTCAAGCAACTACCGGGAGAACACCTACATAAGGCATGGGATCGGTTCAAGCTATACCTAGTGAGGTTGCCTAATCATGGTTTTCCGGACAAAATCTTGTTAGAAAAGTTTTACATGGGTTTGGATCCGTTGAACCAATCCATAGCAATGAATGTGACGGATGGATCATTTATGGACAAAACATTCACAAGGATCACACAAATTCTCAACAAGATGGCAGAACACAATCAAGCTTGGCACTCGGAAGATACCACTGGTGGAATTGCATACGGTACTCCCTCTTTGACCAACATGATAAAGGATAACCAAGAGAGAGATCAAGTAATTGTCGGTCTTGCCACAAACATGAATGTGTTAACAAAGATGTTCACTGAAAACCAAACTAAAAAGGTCAATGTTGTGGAAGATGTGCAACCCTTGTCAAACGAAGATTGCGAGGAGGCAAACTATGTCCATAATTCTCAAGGTGGTTATCGCCAACAAAATCAATGGAGGCCTAACCCGCAAGGGCAAGGCCATCAATAATGGTGCAATGATCAAAGTGGATCAAGTCAAGGTAATTGGAGCAACAACAACAACAACTATGCAAACCATAGTTCAAACCCCTATGTTCCACAAAAGGGGAAATACTCTACCTCCTCGCATTATAAGGAAGGTTCTTCAAGTGAGTCCAAGTTGGAGAGCATGCTTGAAAGAATATTGCAAAATCAATAAAGAGGTGACACTACAATGAAAAACATGGCCGAACTTGTGGGGTCACACACCGCATCCATACAAAATCTAGAAATGCAAATGAGAGACTTGTCACGAGAGCATAATCCAAAGCCGAAGGGCACACTCCCAAGTGACATTATTGAAAACCCTAAAGGTAATGTGAGTGGTCCAACTTCTCATTGCATGGCAATCACCACACGAAGCGGGAAGGTACTTCAAGGAGAAAATGAACAAATTGTTGGAGTAGATGATCTTGAGCAAGAGGCTGAAGCACAAGTTGAAGTGGCGATTGTTATTGAAGTTGAAAAGCTCCCAAAAGGAGTAAAAGTCCAAGAAGAAAATCATGAAAAGGTTAAGGAAAATGTGAAAGAGGCACCAAAAGCTCTAGCACAAATTCCTAGACCTTCCCCTCCGTTCCCTCAAAGACTTGCTAGGAGGGTAGATGATAGCAAATTCGAGAAATTTTATGACATTCTCAAGCAATAGTCGGTGAACATACCATTTGTGTTCAAGAGATGCCGGGTTTGCTAAATACTTAAAGGACTTGATAACCAAGAAAAGAACCACCAAGAATGAAGTGGTGAATGTGACTCACCGGGTTAGCTCCATTATTGCAACAACCACCGTTGAAAAGAAAGAAGACCCGGGAGCATTCACCATTCCATGCACTATTGGCTTGCGAGATTTTGCAAGGGCTCTTTGTGACAATGGGGCTACCATTAACTTGATGCCTCTTGCCATTTACAAGCAAGCGGGGTTAAGCATGCCGAGACCTGCAAGCATGAGGTTGCAAATGGCCGATCGTTCAATCAAAAGACCAGTGGGAATTATTGATGATGTCCTAGTGAAAGTGGGAAAGTTCCTCCTTCCTACCGATTTTGTGATCCTTGACTGTGCCGTTGACAAAGAAATCCCTATCATCTTGGGGAGGCCATTCCTTGCTACCAGAAGAGCACTTATGGATTCACAATGAAATGAAATCAAGTTCTGAGTTAATGATGAAGAGGTCACCTTCCAAGCAAGTAAGAGTATAAAGTTGCCATATACATATGAAGGCATCTCAGTCATTTATGTTGTTGATGAGGTAGAGGACGCAAGTGAAATGAAGATGGAAGAAGAATGCCTAGGTGAGGCTTTGGCGGCAATATTGGTAAATTTTGATGGTGAAAACATGGAGGGGTACATGGAATCGATGAATGCATTAGAAGGACGTGGGTCTTACACTAACGCACCAAAGAAGCTTTCTCTTGACTTAGAGAATAGAGCCACTCCCCCAGCAAACCCTTCAATTATTGAGCCGCTACAACTTGAACTCAAGCCACTTCCACCACACTTAAGGTATAAATTTCTTGGCTCTAATGATACTTTACCGGTAATCGTTTCTTCCTTGTTGAATGATGTGCAGGTAGATCATTTATTGAATGTCCTAAGGGAACATCAACAAGCCATTGGATGGACAATAGCGGACATCCGAGGGATTCTCGTCGGAATCTGTGAGCACAAAATACAATTGGAGCAAGGAAGAAAACCTAGTGTGGAGCACCAAAGAAGATTAAACCCGTCCATGCAGGAGGTGGTGAAGAAGGAAATCATCAAGCAGTTAGACGCCGGGGTAGTCTACCCCATTGCCGATAGTTCTTGGGTGAGCCCGGTGCAATGTGTGCCAAATAAAAGAGGCATGACCGTTATCCAAAATGAGAAAAATGAGCTCATCCCAACAAGGACTGTGACCGGATGGAGAGTTTGCATGGACTATCGGAAGCTCAACAGTGCCACTTGCAAAGACCATTTCCCTATGCCTTTTATTGATCAAATGCTTTATCGGCTAGTGGGAAGGTTATTTTATTGCTTTTTGGTTGGATACTCCGGATATAACCAAATCAACATTGCATTGGAAGATCAGGATAAGACAACATTCACATGCTCATATGGGACTTTTGCTTTTAGCCGTATGCCATTTGGGCTATGCAACGCTCCGGCTACCTTCCAACGGTGCATGATGTCAATTTTCTCGGACATGGTGGAAGATTTCCTAGAAGTGTTTATGGATGACTTCTCTGTAGTGGGTGATTCCTTTGAGAATTGTCTTGACAACCTTACATAAGTGCTCAAAAGATATGAAGAAACAAACCTTGTACTAAATTGGGAAAAGTGCCACTTCATGGTGGATGAGGGCATTGTTTTGTGCCACAAAATTTCCAAACAAGGCATAGAGGTTGACCGAGCAAAGATTGAAATAATTTCTAAGCTTTCTCCACCCATTTCAGTAAAGGGTGTCCGAATTCTTTTGGGATACGCCGGCTTCTATAGGCGTTTTATCAAGGACTTCTCAAAAATTGAAAACCCCGTGTGCAAGCTCCTTGAAAAAGATGCTACGTTCGTATTTGATGAAAAGTGTCTCAAAGCATTTGAGTAATTGGAAGAAAAGCTCACCACGGCACATATTATTGTCACACCAGATTGGTCTCTTCCATTTGAACTCATGTGTGATGCCAGTGGTGTAGCCATTGGGGCGGTGCTTGGTTAACAGCATAACAAAATCCTTCATCCTGTCTACTATGCAAGCAAGACTCTCAATGGTGCTCAAATGAATTATATTGTGATCGAGCAAGAATTTCTTGCCATTGTCTATGCTTTTGAAAAATTTCGGGCCTATTTGTTAGGATCCAAGGTGATAGTCTACACTAATCATGTAGCTCTTCGCTATCTTATGGCGAAGAAGGATGCCAAGCCAAGATTGATTCGATGGGTCCTTTTGTTGCAAGAGTTTGACTTTGAAGTCAAGGATCGAAAAGGGACAGAAAACCAATTTGCGGATCACTTATCTAGGCTTGAACAAGCAAGGAGGCCAAAAGAGAACTTTGACATCAATGATGCTTTTCCAGATGAGCACATATTGTCATTGTCTGACACATTATCTCCTTGGTATGCCGATATTGCTAACTATATGGTTAGCGACCTTGTCCCCGATGGATTAGAAACATATCAAAAGAAAAAGTTCTTGCTGGAGTGTAGGCAATACTATTGGGAGGATACCTTCTTGTTTCGTATTTGTGCCGACAACATCATTTGGCGATGTGTTCCGGAAGATGAAGTAATTCCAATTCTCAAAGCATGCCATGACTCCCCGGTTGGGGGTCATCATGAAGGAAATCAGATGACCGCGAAAGTGCTTGAATGTGGCTATTATTGGCCATCTATCTACCATGACGTGAATCAAATAGTCAAGGCTTGTGAGCAATGTCAAAGGAAAGGATCAATCTCTAAAAGACATGAGATGCCTATGAATTTTGTAATGGAGGTCGAGATCTTTGATGTGTGGGGGATTGATTTCATGGGTCCCTTTGTGAGTTCTTATGGCATGAAATATATCTTGGTGGGAGTGGAATATGTCTTTAAGTGGGTTGAGGCAATCTCCTAGCCCAACAATGAGGCAAGGAGTGTGACCGCATTCTTAAGGAAGAACATTTTCACGCGGTTTGGTATTCTCCATGCCATCCTTAGTGATGGTGGTTCTCATTTCTGCAACAAGGCTTTCACCAGGCTGCTCGAAAAGTATGGCGTAAAGTACAAGGTGGCCACACTTTATCATCTTCAGTCGAGTGGTCAAGTTGAAGTTTCCAACAGGGAGATTAAAAACATCCTAGAAAAAGCTGTCAACGCAAACAGGACCGACTGGTCAAGGAAGCTAGATGATGCGTTATGGGCATATCGCCCCGCATTTAAGACTTTCATTGGCACCTCACCGTACCGGTTAGTCTTTGGTAAGGCGTGTCATTTGCCCGTGGAGCTTGAACACAAAGCCATGTGGGCTCTGAAAAGGTTGAATCTTGGCTGGGCTGAAGCTGCCAATCTAAGAATGACACAAGTCAACGAAATGGAAGAATTCCGTCACCATGCCTATGAGAGTGCAGCCATGTATAAGGAACGAATGATGTTTGTTCATGACAAGAAGATCTTGAAGCGGGAATTCAAATCTGGTGACTTGGTCTTGCTCTTCAACTCGAGACTCAAGTTATTTCCGGGCAAACTCAGATCCAAATGGTCTAGCCCATTCAAAATTGTGAATGTGTCCCCTTACAGTGCTATTGAATTAGAGTCGGAGGACGGACTTCTAACTTTCAAAGTAAATGGCCAACGGGTTAAGCATTACCTGGGCACAACAGGAGACAAGCACTTGGTAGAGCAAATTTGTCACGCCCCGAACCTAGGAGCGAGACAAGCACCCCGTGCCTCACCTAACCTGGCGTNATTGCTCTCAAGGATAGTCCAACCCCCACCACTGAGTAGCCCAAAAGGGACCAACATCGTCGTGCCGCGACGTTAAATCAAGTGCTTCTTGGGAGGCAACCCATGTCTGGTAATTTTTTTTTTTAGTTGTCAGTGATTGAACAGGTTGACGTGTGTATTAGAGTGCAGGTAGCCCAATTTACCATGAAACAGAGTGCAAGGACTAAAGAAAAAACAAATGGTGGATCAGGTGTTTTCGACAACTATGCGGTCGCATAATGACTTTGCGAACCGCATAGTGGTCGCAGACACGATCAGAGAATTTGGGGAATTTGGGTCTGAAAATTGCAGTAAGAGTTCAAGTTCTGCGGTTCGCATAGCAGTTATGCGACCGCAGAATGCATCGCAAAATGGAGCTAAAATAACTCAGCTCTAAAATCATCGCATAACACATATGCGACCGCATAATGTGTTATGCGACTACTTGCCCATCGCAAAATGTCCAGGTATAAATCCTTAACCCTTCGCATACTGTCAATCCCACTCATACACAAACACTTAACAACTCTCACAAAATCAAAAACACAAAAACAAAAGAAACGAAAGAAAAGACAAAAACATTTTAATCACGCACACAGATCACATATCAAGGATCGGAATTAAGGAATTTACCTCGCTCATAACTCAGATTTCACATTCGTCTTACTCCGATATCTGGTATGTGACTCTTTCACTTTTTTTATCTTCTTTTTCTTGTGGATTCATTGCATAATCTCCATCATTTGAACTCCATATCTCGTTTTTTTCTCAAACATGTGCGGTGGGTACCTGTGTGGGAGATTGGTGGTTAAATTTTTGCCTGCGAGTGTAGGGAATTGTGTAGGTGGGAGGCTTGACCATTGTTGGCCGAAGAAGATGATCTTTGCGGCCCGCATAATTGGGTTGCGATCCGCAAAGTCATCACAAACAAGACCCTAGAAGGCCTAGTGAATTGAACTTATGCGACCGCTTATGCGGTCGCAAATGTGTTTTGCGGACCGCATAGCTACCGCAAATACAATCAGTTAAACTGCCTTTTGTGTGTGCAATTCTGCGATCCCTTTGCGGTGGTTTTTGCGATCGCATATTCCCTTAAGTTTGGGGTGTGAAATTCTGCAATAAGTTTGCGGTCCGCATAGTGGGTATACGACTGCATAACCCATCACATAAATTGTTTATCTATGTTATTTTTCCTCCACATACTTTTTATGCTATGCCCACCACTCACACACTGTTTTATTGCAGGAATGGAACCAAGGAAATCTATTGCAATGCGATTACCACCTGCTCGTGGAAAGAAAAGAGCTGCTCCAAACCAACAAGCACAACAGTGTAAATGTCAATGGCCAGAAACCACCCGCAATACTTCTGAGCACTCCTCCCAATCTGAAGAGGAGGGGGCATAGACGGACATCCTGCCATCAGTTGACCTACAAGCTAAAGCAAGACGGAAGAGCGGGGAAGATTCGAGGTTTGGGGTCCCAGGCTCATGGAACCTATACAAAGAGGGGATAAAAAAGAGAAACATTCTCGAGGAGAAGAAGTTAAGCCTGAATGGTCTGAAAGAGAACTACCCTCACATAATTGAAAACATTCAGAAGAGGAAATGGGGATTCTTCATGGATGCGCTAGATGATTACAATGAAACACTTGTTAGGGAGTTCTATGCTTCTTATGCTGCCTCAAGAAATGCTTAGCAAAAGC